TTTGCATATTGCCCTGATTAGCCAATGGGAAGTGTGTCAGAGATACGGTTAATTACCATGTTTGTCTATTATTAGATAGGATAATTTTGGTACACTAAGCATTTAAACAAAAACAAAAAAAATAACAAAAAACACAACCTTATAAATTTAAGAAAAAAATAGAAGTAAACCAAAATAGATACATTTTGCCTTAACATTAGTAATTCCTACATTACAGTAGGTTTTCTTATCAATAGTATGTAGAAATTGATGAGAGAAAAATATAATTTCAAAAGCATTAAGATTAAAGTGAAGATAGTCCCTCCAATCCTTTTATGTTGCAAATGAAGAAATTGAAACTCAGAGTAGTGCCTGGGCCCAAGTCACACAGATAATTTAGTGACTGGATTGTCATTAAAGGTATTTTGCCACTGATCTTATACAGGGCTTTTACCTCTCACCATACTGCCTCTTCTAGTAAAAAAAAGTAAAATTCTTAGAAAAAATAACAGTTAATAGCCCTGGCCAGTGTGGCTCAATTGGTTGAGCATGGTCCCATGCACCAAGAGGTAACTGGCTCAATTCCCGGTCAGGCACACGCTGGAGTTGTGGGCTCAATCCCCGAAAAGGGGTATGCAGGAGGCAGTCAATCGACTTTTCTCTCTCTCCCTATCCCTTCCTCTCTCTCTAAAAAATTAATAAAAGTATATGTTCAAATAACAGCTAATAAAAATCATGCATTGATTTATTTACACATTGCCAGACCCAAGTTAAATAATCAAATGTGATTTCAATAGAATCTTACCTGGAGAGAATCGGATATCTGAAATAATATCTTTTCTGTGGTGAAAAGATACAAGATCCTCAAGAGTATCTGCATTTGCCATTAAGAAGCTTCCATCACAGAGACCTACAGCTAAAGCTTTACCATCAGGAGAAAAACAGCAGCATCGTCCACCTAAAAGAGGAAGACAGTACGCATCAGGTGACTTTCTTTTATTAAAAAAAGTATGTATTTAAAGAGCCTTTAATTTCAAAGAGGATCCCTATTCTTATTGCCACCTCAAATCAATATTAAAAAGGAATCAAGAGATCCAGGTAATAAAGTCTTCTATGGAAATTAATGGTATGGAATTCTAAGCAATAATTAATACAAACCATTCCCTCTTCTGAAAGTAACAAAATCAAGTACTGAGACTCACCTTAAAAGAAATTAAGTTGCTGAACAAGAGTGAGAGTTTTCAACTAATATAAAAAGCCAATGACATATGTGAAAAATTTTTTGGGGGGTGGTTGGTTACCTTTGTAGTTTCTACCCAACAAATCAGAAATTAAAGATATAAAGTCATCTTTATAAAAATGTTTTCAAATTTAAAAAAATCTGAAAATAGTCAATTATTAGTTTCAGCTAGGAATATCTATCTATATATGTTTCAAAACCACACATGAAGAAATAATAATGTTAGTATTATTTTATTTTTTTGAAAATAAGGGTTAGTGCTGCAGTGGTAGCCACATAAAAATGAGCTTTCCTAACAGTAGGGGATGCAGCAGGCACATTAAAATTCCTAAGACTTGGTACCTTGTGAAAAGTTTGGAAAGGGAGGGATCGGGTACAGCTGTTATAGAATGAAAAATTACAGAATGAATTAGGATCAAGTAGTTATTTTATTATCAAGCATATAATGCAGAAATCTAGGCCATGGTTTTTGAGATTTAAGAGTCAAGAGATGATGACATGGAGCAGGGTGGCAGCAAAAGAGGTGATGAGAAATGGCAGGATTTGGATATTTGAAGATAGAGCTGACAAGACTTGGACGATGGACTAAGAGAAAGAGACGAAAGTCAAGGAAGGCTATATTTTTGTTTGAATGGTGATTCCATTTACTGAGATGGGGAAAAATTAGGAAAGGCAGAAATTTTGGTTTTGTACCCACTAAGTTAAGGATGCCTATGAACAACTCAAGCGAAGACATGACAGAGCCAGTTCTTCTCTGGAGCTCCAGGGAGAAGAGGCTGAGAGATAAATATGGGAAGCAGTATCATACAGATAGCAGCTACAGCCAAGAAACTGGATAACAACTTATTAATTTATTAGAGGCCCGGTGCATGAAATTTGTGCACTTGGGGGGGGGTGTCCCTCAGCCCAGCCTGTGCCCTCTCGCAGTCCGGGAGCCCTTGGGGGATATCTGACTGACAGCTTAGGCTGCGCTCACCAGCTGTGAGCCCGGCTCAGGGCTTCTGGCTGACCACCAGGGGACAGCTCCTGTGTTGAGCGTCTGCCCCCCTGGTGGTCAGTACATGTCATAGCAACCGCTGTTCAGCTGATTTGCATATTAGCCTTTTTTTATATTGGATTGCCACTCAGCTCCAAATCCACACTTTTCCTGGTATGTGATACTGGAGCTGCACCCTGTAGACATTTTCCCTTTGCCAGCTGCCTTGATTTTGTCCAGTAGGAGCTGAAGGGCCCCTATAAGGCAAAAGCAGAAGGAAGGACTTTTCTGGGGCACTTATGGGGGAGTTTCTCTGACACCACAGCAGATCAGCCCTCTGGCAAGTTTCTTTTCCCAGGGCAGGTTGTAGTTCCTGTGACACCTACACCCTCTCCAAAAAGATCTGAATCTCAGCCTGGGGAAAGAGGGAAAGGGTCCATCCTCGGACTTCATTCCTTGTTCTTGTCCACTCGCCCTGTGGGTGGTAGCTGCTTTCTGCAGTTGCTACTTCTATATCCCTCAAGAATCCTTTTTTCCAAACCCTTTTATTAGTTAACACTTCATATTAAATTTTCCCTGTTCAAATTAGTGGGGTATCAGTCAAGAAATTGTTTCTTGTTTCTTGACTGATATAGAATGGGTACTGACGTGGCCAGAGGAGACAGACCATTAAAGAGAGGACTTCTGGAATTGATCTGGTCATGTCTTTGGTCTTGAGCACAGTGCTAAGTCTTTGCCAATGAGAAATGGGATGCTTAGTAATACAAGGTATGCACTGGCATAACAATTAGTTAAGTTATATCCTGCGGTTGCTTATGATATGTACCTACTGAAACAAGTGCCCTACGAGTCCAAAAGGCTATTGTCCTTGACCATTACAAAAATAACGATGACTACAAAGACTGAGTGCATGGACGTTGACAGAAAGAAGTAGTAAGCTCAGGTCCCAAAATTCTCAGCACGAGTTATGGTCTGAATAAAGAGAGAGCTTCCAGGTAAATCTTAAAAAAAAATCTCTGACAGGGCTGATATTGCTGAAAATTAAACACAAAATTTAATTGCGTTGGTTTAAAATTTACAACTTAAAATCAAAGCCTCACCAAGTTTCTTATGTGAAAGTTAGGGCATTGATTGGGAAGAAAGGGAATGTTGAAACTTGGAATGCAATCATCGGGTTGAAATCTAACAGAACTGAGAATCTTGAGAGTACATTCCGACCCTCACTGGCCAGTGCAGAGACTGCTTGCTCTCCTGCCTACGAGAGGAGTGACTTTCTTAGGCAGAAGCCTTGGCAAGGAGACGCTTCGTCTCTGAAGAACCATCACAGCCACTCATTCCTCTGCTGTCACTACTCCCCCAGCTTGGATCTCATCCCAGCATGCTCTAGGGCAGAGGTTGGAAAATCTTTTGATGAAGGACCAGATACCAAATATTTTCACTTTTGTGGGTCATACAGTCTCTGTCACAACTACTGCACTCTGTATTGTAGCGCAAAAGTAGACTTAGATACTACATAAAGGAATGGGCATGACTTCGCTTCAGTAACATTTATTTACAAAATCATGGGCTGGGTTTCATCCATGGGCTAACACCTGATATAGAGGAAGGACTCCCAAAAGCTTAGGGAGATAAGAATGTTAAAATAAATTTTTCATATGCAACCTGCACACCCACCCATGACCTACACCCTCCAAAAAAGTCTAGAAAATAGCCCCTCACGAAGGCACTGAGAAATACATTAAGTGAGGGCAGCATCTGCATCCTGGATGAGCTCTGTGACTGTCCTCCTGTGTGGGTCAGAAATAGGAGGTGTCCCCATTGATATGGGCTCCCTGTTTCAACCAGCATAACCTGAAGAAGCAGAGGCAAGAAGCAACACAACCAACAAATACCACGTGTATTCCTTTTAGCAAAAAGGCAGCAGGGATGTAGTGATAATCAGAATGTGTTGGCATGTGGGGATTTCTGTTGGTGGCTAATTTATCACAATGTCTCCAGAAATGAAACCGATGAGTAGACTATTAGATTAGTGATTGATCTATATAACAGAAGAAACTCCATACTGGGTGACTAAAAAACCTGACTTAAATCACCACTTAAATACCACAACGGAGAGTCACAGATTCTCAACCGCTTTTCAGACCTGAGCCAATTTATACTCAGAGCCCCTTGATTAAAGGGGAGGCCAGGCCCATTAAGGAAGAACTCAGCAGCATTGCCACAGTATATAAAGTAAACTTCCTTCCAAGCATCCGTGGCCACTTAATAGGATGACTGTGACTGAGAAAAATAATACCCAAACTTTCAGGAATTACCAGACACAAGCTCTGAACTGACATTAATTCTTGAGACTACAAAGTGCTGCGTTGTACACCAGCAGGAGTGGGGCCCATGGTGAGCATGTGGTAGGTGAGGATTTAGTCCAGTTGTGAATCAGGGCACTCAGGTTGTCTGTGGACCTCACCCAGTTCCTGAATTTGAATAGATATACTGGGCAATCGGTAGGATCCTCTACACTGACTCTGTGCGCCATGGGGTGAGGTCATTATGACAGGAAAAGTGAAAACTAAGTGAAAACCCTGGAAATTCCTCTCTCTACCAAGACAATAAACCAGAATCAAAACTGCAAGCCTGACAATGCAAACATCAGTGACACCACCTCCGACCGGCAACGGCAGGAGTGAGAATACCTGTCACGTCATCATCAAGACTTGCCTGCTTGGTCTGGGCTCAAATCAGGTGGATTTTAAGGTTACAACTATGGATAATACGTTTATTCAGTAGTGACTCTAATTGAAGTTACTCTTCCAGATGCATTCTTCTGGATCTTTCCTAGAGCACATTAGCACAGCCCCTAGCGTTTTGCATGCAGCCATTGCCCTGGTTAGTGCTTTTTTCTCCATATCAACTTGTAAGGACAACCACAAGTGGTTTGCTTTTACCTGGCTTGTATCTGTGTACACCTTCAAAGCCTTGCCTCAGGGCTATTTCAACTCTCCTGTTCTTTGCCATAATATAGTCCACAGAGATCCTGATCGTCTTGAGATTCCACAAAACATCTCAATGGTCCACTACATTGATGACATTATGTTGAATGGATCTGGGGAGCAGGAAGCAACAAGTACTTTAGATGCCTTAGTAAGACATAAGCAAATCAAGAGCATGGCAGATAATCCCACAAAAATTCAGGGACCTGCCAACTCAGTGAAGTTTCCGGGGACCCAATGATCTGGACTATGTCAAGATGTTCTTTCCAAAGTGAAAGTCAAGTGGCTGTGCCCCACATCACCTACCACAAACAAAAGGAGCAAAATGCTTGGTAGGCCTTTTTGGTAGCAACATCAACCACATCCGAATGAGCTGCTTCTACCCATCTATCAAGTCACCTATAAGGCTTCCAGCATCCAGGGGGGCCAGGCAAGCTGATTTCCCACTGGGCCTGATGACCCAGCAGCTCCAATGATGCTCAACGTGTCTGTGGTAAACAGGGGTGCTGCACGGAGCCTCTGGAAGGCCACCAAAGGAGAATCACACTGCAGAGCTCTCAGATTTGAGAGAAAATCCATGCCCTCCTTTACAGGTAGGTATTTTCCTTTTGAGAAGCTGCTTCCGGTCTGCTACTAGAACTTGTTAGAGAGTAAATGCCTAACTATGGGATACAGGTGCCTGTGTGTCCAGAGCCTTCCTATCCTGACCTGAAAGTTTTGTGACCAACCTAACCACAACTGGGTGTGCACAGCAG